ACATGGATGAATGGAGGTGATCATGTTCCATCACTTGCAGTTCAATACAACATGATCAAGAACAACAAATTCCTGGAATATACTACTATGCTATCTTTCTCCTAACAAAAATGGAGAGCCACAAAATAATAAAAGGTTTTGGAAATATGAATAAAAATGGTATTTCTTGTAGTACTTGATACACTCCAGGAAGCAAAATCCACACATTAAATTTGACCAGTATGAGTAATATAGCACTCTAGATCTAATAATCACAAGAGAGTCTCATCAGACTGGAGAAGTGTCTGGAAAAGATCTCTTCAGTTAGCAGGTTACAAAGATGAGCTACTCTGGAGCTCAGAAATCCCCTGACCTGAAAAAAAGCAGAGACCAGAAGAGGACTTAAAGGCACCATAAACCTTTGACTTGCTCTTTTTCTCTAGGCACCTACTTATGGACTGACCACTGGGCTAGACAAAGCCTTGGTCTGAACCAGTATGGCTGTTCTTGTGTTCTTAATTATGAGAAGTAGGAAACACCTTTGTTCAACAGGATGACATTATTAAACTAATTTTAAAAACTTTTACTCTCCTTGTATAGATTCAGCTGTGAGTAAATGGAGATACAGTTGAACAAGGCAAGTAGGAAACAAAATGCATAAGAAAAACTTCCAACAACATGTTATAAGTCATCCCATCAAAGTGCTATTAATATACATTCTGCATACCAAAAAACCCACAGTACTTTCTTTCCTTGATCCTGTTCACCAGTGGAGGGTGGAAGTGCTGAAAATTAAGAAATACTTTGCAACAAATAGATACCTGCTGTGAGGCAGAAAACAAGGAACACAGAATTAAAAGTTTACAGATGATTATATAAAGACATTACCTTGAGTTAATTTTAAGACAAAATAGGAAATATAGAATAATGGTACGGGAGGCTTGAAGTTATGAATGATTATTAAAAAGCTAAGTCCAGCATAAGTAACTAGTGAAAATGTTTACATCTCCATGTCTCTGGGCAATTACAAGGTCTTCCAAATAAAAGACACCAACAATGTGAATGCAGTATAGTGGTTTCTGCAATTAGTAAACATGTCTTTCAAGAGACAAGTTTTTATCTACCCTCCTACCTAAGGTGAACAGCTACATTCAACGGTAACTTGTGATTCTGGATTCTGTATTTGGGGTTCTAAACCAGAAATATCTAAACAAGGTCTGATGTTCAGAAAGTTTTGAATATCCACACTATGGAAACTAGGCACCTTTAATAACAGTACTCGAGTCTCAAAATTTATGCAAAAAATACTAGCCAAGAACTAAAATCATAAACACTATTTCAGTGTTTAAATAGGCAAAACCAAAAATGGTAGTAGTAGCCTAAATTTCATTTATAGTAGCTCTTCAAACAGAAGGTAGAGAGGTAGAGAAGTGTTATCCAAAGAAAAGAGATCTCATCAGTCCAGACAATCATGTTTCACAATCCTTAAAATATATACTTAAACCCAAAACATCAACTACTGATAATACAGTTAGAACACAATAGTGAAGAGCAGCACTGCCATAGTACGAGTTCCCAACAATACCTTCCCTGAGCTGAATCACGTTTCCTGCCCCTTTCTCCAGCTACCTAGGCTGGAAGCACTATCAGCTTTCCCTTCCAAAGTTTGGTTGTTTTTTGGTTTTGGGGTTTTTTGTTTGGTTGTTTTTTTTCTTCCTATTCCTTACAAATGTAAAATTTAGCACAAAATATTCTTCCATTAATGCTCCAGATTTGAAGAACTGGGGGTAATTAATCTGGAATATGCATAAATTCCCATATGAGGTTCTATCTTACAAGTGTCTACAAAGTTTTCTTATACATTTTGCAACACATCCATAAACTTCTAATCTTGGTCTTTCAACGCAAACACGGAGGTAAACTAATTAAAGACTTCCAGTCTTTATAGGCACAGTTTAGTCACCATCCCTTTCTAAGACGCTGAGGGGCCCCATCTGCTGGTAGAAGTGTTATTCTAAAGAATTACACCCCTGAGCTTGTAACCGATTTATTTCAGCTGTACCACCTGATAACTATTTGGTTGGGTTTTTTTAAATGCAGCCATACACAAAAAATTAAGAGCAAATACTTTCAATTAAAAATATAAAATCCTCTAAAACAGTGCATTCCTTCCTAAATATGCAAGATATTTATACAAACTTCAGATGATCTTTCCTGACACTAGGTTGTTCTTCAGTCAACACAAACTGAAAACATCAACTAATTTTTTGCAAACATTTTAGTATGACTTACACTGATTCATAAAGAAGATGGTAAAGTGCACACTGGTTAATTGGGGAGAACATAAAAGGAAGACTGTTCTATTCCCCTGATTTAAACAGCCTACATACAGACACTTAAAAAGTAAGAAATCATATAATCAGTTCTATATATAATTTTAGATATATCTCTGAGTGATATGGACAATTTAGTCATAGTAATTTAGATAGGAATAAAGAAATTAAGATCACTAAATTAAGATCACTGAACCAAGTATTTCTTCCTTCTCCATGCCTAAATAAATAAATAAATAAATAAATAAAAATCCTTTCCCAGAAAGGGAAATTCTTAGTTTGTGATGAAAAATTTAAGAGGAAAATATTTAAGCAGGTAAGAATAGATAAAAGATGCAAAACTGTTCGGCTAAATACTACAAAAATTGCATATGACTATAGACCTTTTGACTTAAGAACAACTTAAACTACCACAGTCAGATCTGCTTAGACAGAACTCTCAGTTCTGAGAAATCTCCACTAATATTTGGACTCTTTGAAAGATAAATGTTTTGATGCACAGGCTGAATGTAAGAACTGAATTCAAGATATTTACACACAAAAATACCCAGGTACAGTTATTCACATGACTAACTGAAAACAGAGTTTTGAGGCTCTGGATTGCCTGCTCTCTCTGATCACACAGGGATTTTAGGCTTCTAACTGTGCTTTGAGTTTTATCCAACTCAGATTTTCAAAGTAAATAGTGCA